AAGGCTGCCATGCTCCTGAGGGGGGAAAAAAAACAGGCTCAGATCCTCAGCTGCTGCTGGGACACAGCAGAACACACAAACACCCCAGTGACACCCCATAGACACCCCAGTGACACCCCACTGACACCCCACAGACACCCCACTGACTCCTCCAGGGCCTTGCAATGGAGCAGCGAGAGCAAAGCATCCCAGAGCTGCAAAGCTGAGTCACGTCAGCACGTGGAGTTAACTCCAGAATTAAACTCCAGCCTAATTTGCTTTCTGCAGTTCAAAGTCGGCGCTGTAACGGGAGCAGAGCCTGATTGGGATTAGGGAAGATGAAACCTGAACAGAGTCTCAGCAGAGACTGCAAACTCAGGGCTGTCATCTTGGTTTTACCGTGTCAGAATTGCAGATTTCCCAATCTGAATTGTAAGCTACAAGTGATTTACTGAGATTTGGAATTATGGAGCAGCCCTGCAGTGGTTTGGTGAATGCACCAGACAAAGCAGAGAACTGAAACGCCAACAGAACTCCCACAGGATTCACTCCCTGCAGGGATCCCCACCTGGAGCAGCTCCTCCCTCATCACCCATCCCATCCCATGCCATGGATCCCATCCCATCCCATCCCATCCCATGGATCCCATCCCATCCCATCGATCCCATCCCATCCCATCCCATGGATCCCATTGATCCCACCCCATGGATCCCATGGATCCCATCCCATCCCATGGATCCCATGGATCCCATCCCATCCCATGGATCCCATCCCATCGATCCCATCCCATCCCATCCCATTCCCCAGCACACACTGGCCTTTAGAACAGTTAAAATGTGGAGTTAAAACCCCTTTACACTGTAACTCCACATCCACAGCGGGTGAAGGTGCTGCCCTGGCCCAGGATTCAATCTGAGTGCTCCCATCCCAAACGGAGCAGCTCCGAGGAGCCCCCAGAGCACCCCAAAAGGAAAGGGGGCTGCACTCCCCACCCTGCACACCCCCCAGGCACTGAGGCAGGCTGAGCTCACCGTGCTGCTCTCAGGTACATCAGCAGGTCACAATCGTTCACTCCTGGCATCCAGACCAGCTCCTCGTGCTGGGTCACCGTGTCCCCATCCGGGGACGGGAACGGCTGCAGCTCCGGGAGCTTGGCCTGCAAAACAACCATTCATCCACAGTGATGGCTGTTCTGAGGCAGGAGGATCCTCAAACCCTCGGGAATATCATGAAGATCCTCAGACAGCAGTGCTGAAGGGATTTGCTTCAAGCTCCAGCACTCTGAGAGCCCTGAGCCATCAATCCCAACCCTTCCCTTCACCCTGAACTCCCCCTGCAGCAGGACAGGGATTCTCTGACAATTCTGCAGGGTCAGCACCACCTCAGCTCACTGCCAGTGAAACCTCTGCTCACACAAACAGCAGAGCTGGAAACTGTCATGATGCCTTAGGATTTTTAGTTTCTATATTTTCATGTGTCTGTATTCTTGTATTTCTCTATTATAGCACTAAAAACTGCCATTCTCCCATCTTTAGACAAAATAATTCCTCTCTGAGCTGAACCCAAGGACACCTCAGAGCCCCAAAATATGGAAATAACAGCGAGTTTGAGGTGGGTGACATCATCACCTCTAAAGATCATTGCAGAATTATGCAATATGTTAATGAGGCAGAACTTATAAAAGGTGAAGATCTCGTGACCCGGTGTCCATTTTGGGTGCAGCCTCAGGAGGCGGCTTTTATCTGCCCTAATGTACCAGGGGGGCTGTTAGGCCTGGCATAAAGTTGTGTATTCTCCTTCTCTTAACTTTGTCTGGGCTCTCTTTCAGATCAGCCTGATTGAGTTGGAAAGATTTCTGTCCTGCACAGCAGATGAACAATCCCCCTCAGCACAGGATTCTGACCCTGCCAGGCTGGGGCAGAGCAGCAAAAAGGGAATTACCACCTGTGCCCCACCGTAAATCAGCACAAAAACCTCCACATTTGACACTCAGTTTAAAATGAAACGCTCAGTAAATCATTACAACAGCRAAGAGAAACAAAGACATTTCCTGAAAGGGAGAGAGCTCAGCAAAATGAGCCTCCAAATAAGTATTACACTCTACCCAGAGACCCAATTAGCATCTTTAGTCATCTACTGCTCCGAGATGAGATAGCTGAGAGCCTCTTCAGAAACAGCTTTTAAGCCCTATAATTACCTCCYATACTTACAACGCTAAACGTATTTGAGAGGCAACATTTATACATAACCAGTAATTACAAGTCACAGGTTCAGATGTCTTTCATGTTCTGCTCTTTAATCTCTACTTTATTTCACTTCTTGCCTGGGAAAATGGATCTGTCAGTGAACTTCTGCTGTGGAAAGGGATAAGGCAGCGCTGCACCCGATGGGATTGCTGAGAGAATCAGGGATTCCAGCACCCAGGGGGCTGCACAAAGCCACACTCAGCCCCCTGAACCCTTGGAAAACTCTGAATTATTGGAATTACTACCAGGAGCAGCTTCCTCTTCATCACAGAGTCACTGAGGCTGAAAATCTCCAAAATGAGCAGTGCCACCCTGCACCGAGTGCCATCTCCAGGGTGGGCACCCCAAACCTCCCTGGGYGYTCTCTGCAGGCAGGAATTGTGCCAGGGGAACATCCAGAGCCCTGCCCTGCTCCTCCTGAGAGTGGATTTTGGGAATTGTGTGATCCTRCAGAACATCTGCACCCCTGCCCTGGTGTCCCTGCACAGGGAGGAGTGGGGGGTTTGAGAAAAACCCACCCCAAACACCTCTGACACCCATAAGGGGCACAGCTCAGGGTAAATGAGGCCACCAGAAAGCCTCAGGATGGCCCTGGACCTGCTGCTTTGCCCCCTGAGCTCTCTGAGGGTGGGCAGTGCCCACTCCCACCCCACAAACCCCTCAAACACYGCCCCAGGATGGACCTGACTGAGCAGGGGACACCAAACCCTGCCAGCACAGCCACAGCCATTGCTGGGAACACAGACACCACCTCCCCAAAATGAACAGCCTGGAGAACCCTCAGAGATGGATTTGTCACCAACAGCATGAGCAGAGAACAATGGAAGCCTAAAACACCAACCAAGCAAGGATTAACACAATCCTAAACCAATGGACCTTCTTCCACCCTTTTTATTTTCCCCATCCATAAATTCATCTGGTAATTAYACCTTCCAGCAGGGTGACTAATGCCTGCCAAAATATTCGATGACAATTTGAGATGAAAGTTGTTTTGAAGGTATCATTTGCAGTGCTCTTGTTATGACTTCTGAAAAGAACACTACAGGTTTAATTGCCAAGGACTTTTTTCCTCTGAAGGCAAAACATCCTTAAGAATGTGACATGGGGTTCCATAAATATTTACTTTCACTAGTTATTAATAAGGTTTTTAAGAGGGTCTCAATGAATATTCATTGCTCAGATGCAAAAATCCAACATTTGGACTTTACAAAGTCAATTCCTRAGGAAAAGGAGAGGCCTCAGCTCCCAGTGACAGATCTGGCCCTATGAACCACAGCGAGTTTTGTGTTAATACTCTTTAAGAACAGCTTATTTCCAATGCTTATGAAGGATTTCTCTCAAATTAGAATTAACATACCAGGAACATCCAGAGTCTTAACCTTATTCTGCTTCCCAGTGTGTGAACACACTCTGCAGATTTCTCAATTCCTGTTTTAAAGATCCAAATGACTTAAAGCTTCCTCAACTTCCAGCAGTTACTCATATTCCCCCAATCTTACTCGAGAATTAACCCAACAGCACTTCTGCTACCAGGAATCATTACCATATCAACATCTGACACAGAAAAATCTCACTAAGTGAGCAGAGGAATTCTAAAGAACTCGCTGAAGTGACTCATCCAGAGATGGCTYTAAAACCCTCCCTGAATCTGAACACATTCAATTTTAAACAACTGAACAGATCAAGAGGTAAAAACAGCTCAGGAGATCTGAACAAAAACAAAATCCTCACCTGGTGGCTGGGCCCAACTCTGATTTCACCTTGGGTGCTGTTCAGCCTCCTAAGACACAAAGAAAAAACAGCAATGAGAAATGATTGGGAATGAAATTCAGGCTCAGGTTCTGTATTTTCTGTCATTGCATTTCCAAAGCAAATGGAACAGGAGCAAAACCAGAACAYTGTTGAGGAAACAGGAGGGATTTGTTCAGGGAACCCATGGAAGGTGTCCCTGGCAGGGGATGGCACCAGAGGAGCTTTAAGGTCCCTCTGGGTTTGTGACAATCTCACACCACAATGTGACAATGCCACCCCCAGGACACAAATCCACTCCAAACATGAACCAAAAACCTCTGGAAAACCACGAGAACGTGGCAGGATCTTTCCCCCAACACACATTTCTGCAGGACACAGCCTGACACCTTTCCTTTGTTTTCAGGTTATGGAACCAAATGACTGAACCAGGAAATCCATTTTCTCTTTAAAATTAAACACCAGCTTACGTTTTTGCAGCTATGAGGTGTCA